AGACCTGGGGATGGACTCCAAGACCTGGGGATGGACTCCAAGACCTGATGCGATCCACTGGAAGGGAAGATTGAGCACTGACTAATACTACTCTTAATACAATGTTTCCTGATGTTTCCTGATTATATTGTTTTTCTGGGGGCTAGTTCATTGCAACAAGTGGCAAGCCCATCCCATCCAACCCGTAGCCCAGTGAGAAGTCTTGAAAAGCACTACAAACATGTCTACATGGGTCAAAGACCTGAGTTGGTCATGTAGAATCACTAGTCACTGAGGTTTCCACGGACCAGCTTTACTCGGTCGTTGGCCGTGCGTTTCCCTCGTCCCTCGCCCCAACATGTCCTCTTAAAGCCTCATGAAGTTATCTCCAGTTCTCCAGGTATCTTCCTGATCTCACTCATGTCCTGCATCGATGGCTTCATCAAGGAGGGCTGCTGGAGTGTCCTCGCCTGTGCCATCGCCCTCGCGGAAAATTGGGACCTCCGGCGCTACCTGGCTCGAGCCATGCTGGCGCTGCTCTACGTGGCGACTGCCTTGGGAGTCGTCTATACCGGCCACCGGGCGGACCGAGGGGGAGGGAGCGGGCGAGGCGGAGGCGGAGCTCATTCCGACCCTTTTGAACGGAGAACATGAGGACACGCTCCCAGATGCTCCATGTATGCCATATAAATGCCTACATTGACCCCCAAAAGATTGGAGTGTCTGGGTATATGAGTTTGTGACCTCGAGATCTCATCGAGATCAGTAGATCCGACCTCTAATTCCTCCTATTTGTGGAGTTTTACAGGTCCGAAATGGGTGAACTTCTGCAAGCAATCAGTCATCTTCATCTTGGAGTGGTGACTCCCCATGTCATTCTTCTGCATGTCGTCATGGTCATCTTCTTCCGTTTGGTCATCTTCTTCCGAATTGTCTGAGAAACCGATCCACAGGTGAATCCGATGAGTTGTCGAGCAAAGCGAGGTTTTGCGACCAGTCCTTCAGACGTGGAGGTTCCATGCAGAAACGGTCTGAAACGGTCCGAAACGGTCCCTGTCTCTACATGTGTGTGTGTGTGTGAGTGAACGCAGGTCTCGCAGGGCAGGCGAGGCTAGCACCTGGAGAACCATCTTTTACCGAAGATTTCCGTTCACGAGTTGGGCTCAACCACAGTTACTGAAGTTGACACTCAACATTCACCACCATATACCACCAAGCACAACAAACATCTGTTCTTTGTATCTGGAGTCGACCCGGAACTCATACCTCGGAGCATGGGGCTCCAGTCATCCTGTTTTCGTTCATGACTGGTCATGTCCCGTCGGTACTGGGTCAGTCAGGTCCTGGCAGGAAAACCCCTTGCCGAGGTGAGATCAACCCTGAATCTTCTCCCTTTTTGGCAACTTTGCCATTGCTCTCCTTCGCTGCAATGCCTACCACAGCGTTGTGTGTCTTGCGAAGCCAAGTGATCTTGCGTCGGCCAAAGAAGCAGATGAAGCTGCTTGAACGGCTGGCAGGGGTCTAGGAGATTGTGTTTCTACAAGAGTATGTTGCTTGAAGGAACAATAAGGAACAAATCGAAATGTCACAAACAAAGAACGATCATGGCGAAGGTCGAAGTATTTAAGCCGCATTTAACCCTTAAGTGCCACTTGTTGTTTGGACTATTTCCTACATGACATGAAGGTGTCCAGCTGCTATGTGAGAAGCACATATATGTTCGGTAGAGGTCGGATTTTTTGAGACTCGACCCTTGCCATAGAGTCGGCTCGGCACCATGCCGTGTAGCATCGTGTAGCCGTGTGAGTTGCGTGTTTCTGCGCGTTTGCACGGAGGCGGTGGATTTGCAGATCAGACAGCCTGCCACGGTCACCAGTCAGGCAAGTCGCCCTTCCCAGAAAGAGCGGTTGGGTTTTGGAGGGAGTCTTGCTAGGCTGCTAGGTGTTTTTGAGGCTCCAAAGAAGCTGGGTTTGGAAAGGGAGCCAGCTAAGGAGCCAAGTTTAATAGGGGGAACTTTTGGATCGTTTCACTTTGAAAGGATGTCCCACGTGATTCCACTTGGCATGCCAGCACGCCACCTTCTTTTCGTTGATATTCGTTGATCCCGGTTCCGATTCGGAGACCCTCGGACGGCCAGATCTGCGAATCTGTTGCTAGCCGTCCTCGTTCCAGCTGGCTCAAAGCCAGCCGTCCGTTTGGGCTACGTCAACCCATCCATCCTGGGCCCGAGTGAGCTCCGACCGACGAAGAGGGTGAAGCCGTGGACATCCGAGGGCCGAAGTAGCTGGGCCGAAGTAGCGGAGTCGTCCGCCAGGAGCTGAGAAAACCGTGAATCAACTTGAACCTGGGATTAGTTGCCCCACTCAACATGAGCACAGATGGAACATGGAACAGTTCGCTTCAAGTGTCCATTTGCCGAATCGCCAGCATTGGGAGTCAGAATGGATCACGGATCTTGAGATGATCAGTCAAATCCCCACGTCGACGAGGGATGACCCGGAACGCCCGAAGAGACGAACGAAGAGACGAACGAGGAGTTGGGTCAATTCGCATGATATGGGTCAAAACACGGTATGAGACTAACTTGACCACATGTCCCGTATCCTCCGAAGGGTATCCTCCAACCATGGGCTGTTGCTGTATTTGAAAAAGCAACAAAAACATCTCCCTGGACGCCCTGGACGGCGGAATGGGCAACATCATTGAACTTGCTTCCATGATTCCGCGTTCATCCACGATCTTTGAGCTATTGCTAGACAGTCATGTTTGGTCAAAACAGTCCCTTGAGAGCGACTTGTTGGAGTCAACATACATGCAGGCAAACAGGCAAACATGCACAGATAATATGCACAGTGTCAGTTCAATATGTTCTTTCTATGCAGATCATGATCATTGCTGGAAACAGTGTCTTTTAATCAAGAAATTCAGCACGTACGTCTTTCCATGTCTTTCCACAAAAGGTTTGCACAGGTCAATCAACCGCCGACTGACCATCTGGACGTTGAGCCCCCTGTCGGACCTTTGGATGGTTCTTTTTCGGGTTGATTTCTCGAGACGGCCACCGGCTTGAAGAACAAGCACCTGACCTGACATGAGCGCCTACGATGACCATCGCCAAAAGAGAGCGGCCGGGCCCGGGTTAGGAACCTTGGAGAAAGAATCAAAGCATGTCAAAGCTGTTGAGAACGTCTTTTGAGATTGTGGAAGACCAGTATGGATCCAACTTGAACGAAGAAGTGATGGTTGCAACATGTTGCAGCAGCTCCTGAATAGCCGTTCGTTTGACCTGTGCTGACGTGTTTCGGACGAAGACGATAGGGATGTTGCAGATACTGCCCTGGTGGGCTGTCTTGGAACCTGGAATCGGGACTTCCTCTCATTGATGTTGAGCGGCCTTGGTATCTCAAAATCGGTCTCACATGTAACATGCACAGATCCAAGTCACAGTGCTTTGAGCTTTTGAGATAGCTCCCACAAGACGAGAAAAAGGTCAAAGAGAGGATCATGGGCTGGTAGGTCCTGCGACTGTCTAGCATGCTAAGTACGAAACAAAACACGAAGCACCCAGCTCGGACCGGACCCTGAAAGCCCAGCCAAGCTTGGACCTGGGGCGAAGTCCTGCACAGGTCTCGCCGGTCCACCCCTGAGATCGGGAAGCAGCTAGGAAGCAGGTGCTGCACGTCTGGCCTGATCCAAGTGGCACCGTTTGGCACCTGGTGCTATTGTGAGGACAAACTCTCAAAGCAAAGCAGAAGGAACAAGTCCTGGCACATGGTCGGACTGGGACTGCGATCTTGGCCGATCACCTTGGGGGTGGTTTTTCCCGTCAATGGATCGCCACCCAATCGGACGGAGTGTCTTGGGAGATGGGTTCCATGTCCACCAGGACCTTCAAAGTGACCTCTTTGGAGTCTGTAAGTGACCTCTTCAGGGACTAAGTGACCTCATTCTGGGATCTCAAAAGGTCACTTTGAAGGTCCTGGCACATTGCATTTCCGTCTTGAGTCCTATGCTTTTAGTGCTTTTGCAGGCAGTTTCCCATATCCCTTGAGGACGACTGTAGATTGCATATTTGGCCATGTAGCCAAGCTTATACTTTAACTTTTACACTCCAAAACGAGTCATGTCTCCGATCGTCGAGCGGTTGAACAACACCCCCCCACGGCGCAGGACATCGCAGGACCATCGATGGATGTCATCGCAATTCAGACCTCGAACAGATTCGAACATGTATTACCCCGACCATCGACGACCAGTGCGAACTCGCAGGACTTCACCCACATTCACCCCGGGTCAAGAAAATACCACCTCAGTGTTGCCATCTGCAATTCGCCCAGGTTCGCGGTTTGTTTGTCGCCGAGGAAAAAGGAAACCGAACCGGTTTGGGACGAACATACGCACATACCTTGGGGATCCTTGGGGGTGTTTTTTTCTTTTTTGACCCAGAGTGAATGTAGGCCAATGTGCCAGTTTATTCAGTTTCATGGATGGTTTGGGATTGCAAAAAAGATCCAAATCAACTATTTCTAAGCGCTCAGGCCCTTGGATCAAAGTTGTTTTTGGCTGAAATTGAGAGCTGCAGCTGCCGATGTGTTGCCTGAGGGCGACAGAAACGTAGAATTTGGGGCTCCACGACAAATCTGGAATCCCAGTCATGATACCGAGTGCTGCACAAAGAAGCAACAGCATGCGCCATTTATCCCATCGGTTGAAAAGAGAAGAGACCGTTTCATGTTGCGAGGGAAGGAACGATGCATGGACAGGTGAGGAAAGTAGCTTGCTGTATTCTGATCACATGTTGACGATCGACGATATACAAGCGATCAAAACATATCAAAGCTGCATGAGGCAGGTCTACATTGCCGCTGGGCGAACGCAAGAGTGAGCTGAAGATGTTCTTGTTGACATGGAGTTCATTGTTTCACTTATGAGTGAGTCACACATGAGGTGTTCTAAGCCGAAGCCCCTGTTTGGCCATGATTTGTTGACTTTGTTGACTGTTGACCATTTTGAGCATAATGTTTGCCAGGGACCACATTGCTAGCGGTTGAGCCTTTGTTTGTGAGACTCTGAAGCATGATATCTCTTCTGGATGGCATTGTGTGTGTGTGTGCGCATGAGTACAACATTGACAACAGGGTAAGTTGAACCATCTTCCTCTTCTGGTGTGGATGAAATGCAAGGAGATAGCCCAAAGATCAATAATCCTTCTTCGTGCTTGCACAGGATGACTCGTGGTGGGACCCTTAACTCCTTGTTGGCGTTGCTAGCTCAAAGGACATACTTCATAGACTCATCGCTCTTATATAGGTTGGAGGCCATCACTATTTGGTTGGAGGCCATTCCTATCCTTTTGCTGTGGAGTGGCTAAGTCAGCAGGAGTTGCTGGGTGAAGTTCGCATATCGCGACTCATTTGTGTATGGGGACCTCCCTGGCTCCTGGGTAGACCAGTCCAGTCTGATAAATAGGGTCCCATGAGGCTCCCCTATGAAAACACACACCCAATTGCACGTGGAATGATTCCAGTTGTTCATGCAATGACATTGAGATTGTCTGTACGTCATGTGGCTTACAGGACAGCACTGTGTTGGTTTGAACGAGAACTATGTGTAATAAAGACCACTGCAACGAAGAATATATGGGGACTACAACGATATCGACGCACCACCCACAACAGCGACAGCGGTGCGACAACAAAAGGTGCACATACTATATATCTTGATGACATTGATATTCAGACACTATCACTTTTCTCATCCACGGTCCCTGGATGGGACTATAAACCATTCCAACCTGGAACTGCTGGTAGATATGTACTTCTCTCTTCACAACGAATCCAATTCAAACTGTCTTGTCTCCTCCTGTTGAACGGACCCAAGACACACAGCAGTCCAAAAGATGTCGCCAACGAGATCCGCCAGCCATGGAAGCAGGTCATGAGCCGAAAAGGAGGCAGGTCTGCTGGAGTTCAACGAAAAACAACAGCCTGAGAACCCAAACGGTCATGACTTTCGAGTGAACGCAGTGAAAGTAGAAGAAAACATCGACTGGTGGATCGCTCCCTGATAAGAGAATCATGACAATCATGGTTTCGCGGACAACTACCTGATTGGTATTCAGATTTCATGGTCATTGGCCCTGCATGGCCATGCCATCCACTTCCATGATTATACCAGGAGTCACAAAGGGGTGCCTATTGGAGGATAGGGTGCACAATATCCACTCACTTAGGGATTAAAGCCACTCCTTTGTGACTCCTGGTTATTATATAATACTAAATATATTCTAGGGAGTGTAGCTAGGGGTGTCCACATGTATGTGGAACAGCTGGATAGGAATTAATTGCGCCTCAAGCCAGACACTGGAGACCCAAGGCAAAATTGGTGCTTAGATTTATGTCTTCAGGGCTGTGAGGATTTTAGTTGTTGATACAACTGTCAGGAGTACGTTCTATTGTTCTTTTGTTTAAAGATCCATCCAGTGCGTGGATGTGATAAGGGCACCCCGACTTCCTCCATGGATAGCACCCCTATCCTATTTGCTGGTTGTTAGATTGTTCTTCGTGCAAACAAACACGGCAAAAACACAACAAGAAACTGCCAACACATGAACGACGACTGTACCGAACAGCCCGTGAACAGTCAAACCCGGAACAGTCCGTGGCCCGTCCATGCCCGTGCGGAAGCCCGTCTCAGGCTGCAGTGTGGAGTGAAAGGCGTGGGCGAGTCGAGATGACTCCAGATGCCTAGGGGCCTGAGGAATTTCAGGTGAACCCTCCCCATAGGAAGAGGTTGTTCAATTCCGGGCGAGTGACAAATATGATCAAGAGTTTACATTTACATTATAGACATGTGATATCATTTGATGATCTGATCCAAGCAGGCTTAGGGTGTTGGGATGGTGTTGATGATCTGAAACCTTCGCAGTGGCGAAGGCTTTTGGCATGGTTTTTGGGCGATAGGTACCTGAGACATCAGGCAGACATAATCACAGCAAAACACACAGAGGTTGTTCATGGTTTTTGGTCAACGAATGCCATCATATAGTTGTATTACTCTAGGTTCGGACCTAGGTTCGGATCTCCAACCTATAGTGTATACAGGGCCTCCAGAACATGGAACAAATCAATAAAGCAAATTAATTACGGACGCAGGACGCTGCCAGGGATCCATTCCATCCCGGGTCGACGCGTCGTGTCCGGACGACGGCGGAGGCGCCCCGCGGTCGAGTCGCAGCCCGAATCCCGCCGCTGCCGTCTGGACGGATCGGGGGGTCGGTCGAGAGCGCCGAGCTGTGGAGCCATATAGACACCCCCAAAACATTTACCCCTACCCTCCCTGAAACAATCATGGTTAAGTGGAATACAGCCTGTTCATAGAGGAATTTAATCTTCCTTTTGGGGCCATGCTCCACTTCCATGTTTGTTGGATGGAGGGTAATAATAGAGATCATGTAAAAATAACACAATTACAGTTTCTATAAGTTTATTTTTTCATAATTTTTGCTATATATATATACTCAAATTATGCTATATTGTATTCCCCAAATAGATGGACAACTAGATCCCCAGTAAACATGTATTGGAAAACCGTGCCACGGTCAACTCGCTCTTCACCCTTATGAAGAAACGACCAATTCGGGAATGAAACGACCAATCTCTATGTGAGATAACCTTTTGAAAAGGAGAGATGGCAGTGGATCACCCTAGGGGACCCAAGAACGACCCAAGAACCAACGATGGGAACGGAGGTTCTGGCGATCCGCTCAAAAACTCCGGAACGGACATCTGACCCGTCGACCCAGGGCGACCCCAGGGCGACCAGGGTGTTCTTCCCGGATTTGCACACCCCAATTGGGGTGTAGTTTGTTGCCATCGGGGTGTGTCTATGGATGGCAAGAAGTTGTTGTTTTTTGTTGTGTAGTTTGATCCTAGCGTTGCTTAGGTGCCTTTTGCGTCAGACGATCCAGGAATTGAACACCTGGACGGCGACTCCTCTACGACTCTATGCAGAAGGGTGTTCCGCTTCTATGCTTGCTGGGTAGAGGTTGGATGTCATTGATTGAGAAGAGTGCGCAACACGCTACAGATTGAGAGAATATAATATAGCTAGAGCAAAACTTACAAACATACATAATACCGGGGGGGTGTTCCATTACCTGTGACTGTAACAGTCACGGTTATCACTACATTTAGAGAAAGGCCTTTACCAACCAGGCCTTTAGGTAGCTGGGCCCGGGGAATGGGATAATACCCACATGTCTCACCGTCTCACCGCCGAACTTCGGCAGAAAGTCCCAGCCTCCAAGCAGGATTGATTCATCCCGGATAGGATCCAGTCGTACCCTCGTTTCGCAGGTGGGACTGGGGTGGGTGCCAGGTGGGTGCCAGGAGGGTCCAAGTACCTTTTGAGGAGGTACGACTGGATCCCTAGGGGTTGATTGTTTGGTGGCCCATTCGCCCCCCTAAAGATGATGAACCTGGTTGAATCAACCAGCAGTCACAAGAGCAGTCACAAGAGCTGCTTGAAGGAGGAACGGAGTCCAGTCACTGGTGCTGATGAAGATCCACTCACGTTCATGGGACAAGTAAACACCACACCACCCCGAGCTCGGTGACTGGAATGTGTTCGATTCTTTTTCCACACGTTCACTGGTCACTCCTCACTCTTCCACACATGATCCATGGGTCACTCCTCTCCACATATTGGTCCATGGGTCTCCGGTCTCACGTCACCCCGTCCGCAGGACGCTCCGCCACGCGCTGCGCACCCCGAAGTCGCCGCACCGACCCCGAAGTCCCGGCGCTCTGCCGCTGCCGTGGCGATCGGCGCGACCGCAGAGTGGCGATGGCGCTCGGGAGCCCAAAGAGGGAAGAAAACCGTCCGTGTACGAGTTGGGTACCCAGGTTATGGGTCCTATTTACAGTCACTTCACCTCTCTTGGTACGAGGTCAGGAACTGATCCAAGAGTTGACTGGAGTTGGTCAGTCAGCTTACTGTCCCAAATAGGTTGATTGCCCGGTTGACGGGTCCCTCGGGTAGGTGGATCCCACCGCCATCATTTCACTGGCAGGCCCGGGTTTGACTGGAACCGGTTTTGGGGTTGTGGCTTTAAGACGAGTGAAAGCTGATTCTGCGACACGACCATTGGGACTGGCAGATGTAAATACTGGGGTGATGGAAAAGAGGTGAACCAGGACCTTCCCAGTGACCTAACTTGAGATCCCAGGTCACTTATATAGGCCTTGATTTCAGGTCACTTACCAATCCCGAAGAGGTCACGGGGAAGGTCCTGGAATGTATATATTTGTGCCAGTCCCATCAATGGTTTGCATTAGGGATTAGGGTACTGGCAAGTTCATTTAATGAGGGGATACGACCCTGTCACATCTCCGCAGGTGTTGGAGGCTATCGCGAGCGAGTAAGAACGACGCTTTGACCCAGGACCAGATTGCCAAACTAATTTAGTTGTGAGTTGCTGTGAAGCAATGAATTATAATCATGTGTCTATGTTTCTGGCCCCATCAAGCAGATCAAAGTAACAACGTATCGAGTGCATTCGAGAGCTACATGAGTTGCTCGGCCAAAGCACAGTGGCAACTTGTAGTCATAAGCAAAGCTGGTTGATTTAAGTCCGGTAGCGGGTGATTCTGAAATCACCTGCCGCGTGCAGTGACATAACTGCCAAGAACAAGTTTCGCCCCAAGATGCCCCAAGGATCAAGGGCGATTCTTTTCGGACACGAGTTGCGAGACTGGAGGGAGATGACCTCGGTCACAACGGACTTGTTCGGTCACTAAAGGCGGCAGTCTTGTGTTTTCTCTCACTGCAAAAAGCAGCCCTGTTTGGAGCTTAGTACATACTACACTATAGTCACTTCGTCACGAAGTCGCGCTATAAAAATTCGTTGCTTTTTCCTCAAAACCGTCCATTTGGCAAAGCTACAAAGAAGAACCAGATGAATCGCACCGGATGCCTCACAGACCGGACCCGAACCACCCTCGCTCCCCCGGACGAAGCACGAACCCGCGGACCGCTCGAGGCGCGGACGCCGCGGCTCGGCGGCGAGGTCAGCGAGATCAGCGGAGAGGCGAAGAAGAGCGAAGAAGCGGCGGGATCCGGCGACCAATCCATGGACCTGGAATCACATATATCCCGGGGGCCCCACAAACCACCAAAAACCAGGTTTTCCTTAGCAAAGAACATGGTTTCTGTATGTGAAAACCTTTGTTTTTCATGGTTTTGAGGGCCGCTGGATAGAGTATAGGAGTTCCAGGCAACCGGTCAACTGGAGCTCCAGGCAACCGGTCAACTGGAGCTCCAGGCATAGGAACTATATATATATATCCCTAGGGCTCAGGGCTCCAACCATATCCTCAGGTTCGGTGGTTAGACCCACCTGCCACCCACCCCAACCATAGTCGAAAAGGAGGTGGGCCAGGAGCCCTAGGGTATAGACACATAGAGTATAGATGCGTATAGCATATTGCTCTATATACGTTATTTTAAAAAATGACATATCCATATGGGACTGGATTGACTGTATGTAAAACACATCCATGTTTGGCAAGACTGGAATCACCATTGACCCCTTCAAGCTCGGTAACACCAATCTTAGACATAACAAAAAGAGGGCTCACAAAAGAAACGTGAAGAACACACCCAAAATCGGATCTTTTGACCTTCTCTTCTTCATATTCCTTTCCAAATCAGCTGGTGTCGTTGTGCTCAAAACTGCTGGAACCACCAACGCAGGTGCCCAGCTTCGAGATCGTGAGTGGATCTGTCCGGAGCTCTGGATGCTGTCGGGGTGATGCTGTACGTGTTGAAGTTCGGCTCTAATTCACTGGATCAGTGGTTTCAGAGTAGATGGCACAATCACCAAGAGGTGGTTTATATGGACCCCCATCTAAAAGACATGTAGGGGTGCCAGTGCCATCTACTCTGAAACCACTTTGTATTGGTTTCAATTTAGTGGATCAGTGGATTTCAGTGGTGATTTAGTATCCCTCTGATGGGTGACCCACATGGTGTATGAATGACTCTTGAAGGGGTGGGACCTATATAGATCTAGAGATCTTTTGGTTTTTTTCGGAAGTTCACGTGGGTTTCTTCCGACCGCTGGCAGTCTTTTTCTTCAAATGGCATGTGTCTCTTGGTCTGATTGGATCCGGACCCTGTGCTTTGACGGAGCCGGTCGCACCAGCACGACCCGTCCCTTTGGGAGATTCGCTTGGACGTCGTTTCAGTCGGTTCCAAGCAGGACGCCTTCCGTTGCGGGAACCTGCCACCAAGCACCTGAAGAATCCTGAAAGCACCTCACCTAAAAAAGTAAGATCTCGGAAGAGAGGTTCGCCCAAACACACGACCCGCTGCCGCTCGACCCGAGGCAGCACCCCTGAGAGACCGCGCCGTCCAGGGACATGAGGACATCTCCCAGATGCTCGCGTGGATGCAGCCCATGAAGTGTGCGGACGCACGGTGGAGCGAAGGTCAAACATGGTCAAACCACAAAGCACCGGTTGTTTCACAGTCGAAGAACCACACCACCAAATGCGTTTGTTTTCGACTGCTAATTACCTGATATTATTACATGCACTACAGGGGTGTTTTGGAACGGCGTTACTTGTAGCGGTTTGTGTTCTCACTGTGTACTTTGTTTGGACACGTGATAGTCATAAGTTCCTTTCACGTCCGCCAGGCTGAACATACGAAAAAAACACCCTTCCACACGGCAGCGTGGTTCACCGTCCCCCTCCGAATCCCAGGCGGGAACTACGTGCACGGTTTGTCCAGCTTGGCCTTTGAGATCGAAGAAAAGACGCAGGCGTCGCGTGAACCTCGCGTGAACCTCGTCGAGCGTCGGGTTCTTGGAGCCGTCGGGTTGGTCACCGCTGTTCCAGCGGAGCAGAGGCGGAATGGAAACAGGTTTGGTGAGGACGAGGGTGGATGGGAATGGTGTGGAGATGGGAAATCCAGCGCGGCAGGGCAGGGGCTGTGTGGACAACCAGGATTGGGATCATGCTACAGCAATCTGTTCCTTAGCTCTTGCATAATATATCGCTTCAGTACTGACAGAGTTTTTTTACTTGATAGAACTTGATAGGAACGATGAATTGCGGACAAGAAATACGGATAATGTATCGAGTTCTTCATGAGTCGTATGGATGCATATGGAAGCTATTACATGATATCACTGATATCACTATCGCCGACTATCGCATGATTAATCTTGATTCTTGATGGCTCACCCAGGTTGAGTGAGGGTTCTCCTTGTGAGTGTGTCGGTGTGCACAATATTGATGCAATGAAACTGTTTTCAATGACTTATTCTACCACCGAGTTCTGAGAAGGATCGCGTTTTGTTCGAGGCCTTTCTTGTTTTGTTCGAGGGTCCTAGGATTTGCTCGTATTCTCCCCCGGGGCCACGGGGGAGCCACTGGGGCGACCATCAGCGACCAGGCTTGTTTTACGATAGACTACAGGTCAACCTCTCTTTTCATGGTACATCCAGGCGAACGGGATCACTGTTGTGACAGCATAATAAGTGAGTCCACATAAGAACCCTGGAGGCGTTTGATCATTTAGGGCTTGTCCAATGTTTCCTCGATGGGTTGGTATGTTATAGTAAGTAGAGCGATGTGCAGATGTACTCAATACGCCGCATGTGTACTACATTGTACTATCATGGTTTGATGTTGAACAACTGTGGAGGTGAGACAGTATGCCGATGTCTAGTGGTTTCGTTTGAACCGCTCGGCACATTATCATGACACATATCCTCATATTCCACCATACCATATTCTGTATGTCCTGATATCCTCTATCCTCATCTTCAATTGACCCCCTGTTTCCTCTCTGTTCCTCTCAGCTTGCTTCACAGAAGTGGCACGGCTATTTGGGTGGTCGTTGTAGCAGGACACGGTCGTGCTGAGATGTGCCAGTTTGGGAGCGCAAACACAAGACAGACTCGTATGGCCATACCACTTATTCATGTATGGTGTGTGTGTGTCACAGTGTCCACACTTATGCTATAAAGTAGTTGAGACTTATTGAGATACTATTCTCCACCTCAACTCTTCTTTCATTCCCACTCACTTCGGAACTCGGTCCGTGCTTGTCGGAATCTCCTTCGAGCAGAGAGCTCAGTACCGCGAGTTGAACTCGTCTCGCAGGAAGGAATCCTTGGATGCCATCCGAGGAGAAGCTGCTTGGGGAACCCAGGTGGGTCTCGATCGACGTCAGGCGGTTCTGAAGACAGACGTCGACCATCCATGGAACATGGTGTGCAGAGGCCGATCAATTGACCCCTCAAACCAACCACCCCAACTGATCGGGATTCATATGCCAGGCTGCCAGGCCAGAGGGTCGGTTCTGAGTCTTCAGCTCCTTTTGGTGAAGAGGAGAAGACAGCTACGTGGATCACGTGGTTCATGTGGTGCTTGGGAACAAACATCACCGCCCGGATTCGGGCTTTATGATCTTTATGATCTTTATGGCAGATGTACCTGCGGATGATGATGTGGGAAGCACCTGCCCCCCACCACCAATGGGGCCTTGCGCCCAGGCAGCGTCTTTTTGCAGGTGGACTTGGAAGACCCTTCTGGACTCGAAACCCACCAAGCAAGAGACCAGCAGGAGATGGGAGAACAGCAAGTACAACTCGCTTGAAATGTACATTTTGCATGATCAAGCATGACCAAACATATGCCCAAGACTTTGAAAGAGCAACTTAGAGAACTTTCCCAGCAACTGAATGGTCCCCTCCCAACATGCTTGTCCCCCCCCCAGCGAATCTCAATCGAGGTCCCGCCCAAGGACTTTTCACACTCGGCGGAAGCCGCTTCTTTGCCTGGAACCTCAGCACGAGCTTCGGACCATTCATGGCCGCTGAACTGAACAGTGGACCTCGGATACCTCAACCATTGACACTGACCTCAACCATTGGTGAAGTCTCCGTCCTCTTTTCGACGTCACCGTGGCTTTTCCATCGCGTGGAGACGACACGGGCCGTTCGAGAAATGGATTTCAGGAAGTGAGGACGTTGGCGGAAGATGGTGGAACTTCTTGTAACCTAGTGCCAGCACTACCAGCACTACCTGCACCACCCAGGCTGGCCCCAAGAACTATGTTCCATCCAAGAACCACCTGAAATGGGCTGGTGGTCCCTACAAACCGGTTGAATCCAGGGTGAGGCTCTGCGGCCACCTTGATGTTCGGGGGAAAACTGACGGGGTTAGATGGAGCAGTGTGCCTTCAGAAGTCCTCACTTCTTTGGAATATGTTTGGGATCTCCCTGGAATCCTGGAATCATCATGGACGTGGAACAGTAGCATATCCCCTTGGAAGGACTGTTTTCATCTACAAACCGGTGGCTTTTCCATGGTGATGGTGATTTCAAGGAGTCTATTGCTCTGGAGACGTTGGTTCTTATCCTTGGCGGATGTGCAGACAAGTTTGAAAGAGGATGCCTAGAGATACAAGATCTGTTTACTTAAAACATACCGGTTGGTTTTGCTGCTCTTTGAGCTCCATGGGCTGCTGTCCACAGTACTTTCTTAGTGTATTGGAGTATGGCCGCAGTATCACTGAGTACTGAGAAACATCATTCTCGGCTGAAATGGATCGAAAGGTTTGGACCCAATGCCAATGTGCACATACCTGAACCAGTACCTGAACCCCAAATTTCATCCCAAGACATCGAGCGCCAATGCCCGAAAAGAATCGTTCCAGCGGAATTGGTGAGCACAAACATGACCAAGCATCACACGTCAGGCTGACTCAGACTCAGTACGTACTCCTGTCCTTGACCAACGAAATTTTGAGAGCCGATCGACGGGACAGCGCCCAATCGGTCCCACGTCCAGTGCCATGGGCGTCCATGGGCGTCGGGGTCACTTTCCACCGAGTGGCCAGGCTCGTGCGGCTCTGCCGTGCTCTGCCGCAGGGCTTCCTGTTGCGGACGATGCTGGAGCCCTTGGTGCAGGACGGGCGCGACAGGACAAGACAGGTTGCGGAAGGAGCTCCGGAGGCAACAGTCTTTGAGGTGCATGACATGCCTTTTATTGCCTTTTACTATCTTTTACTGCTTTTCATGTATGAGAAGTACGTATGCCTGAGATGGGCTGTGGACTGTACTGGACAGCACAATGTTTGGCCTTCCCAGTTTTGTTTCAGATTTCGTTTTGTTTGTGCATGGGAATTGCCATTGATACTGTTCGCAACAGGATTCCTGCACTCTCAACCACCGAAGCACTACCAATACCCTGGACCATCCGCCGTCCAACTGCCAGATTGCAGGAATGGGTTCAGGACCTCTTCAGAGTTCATGACCTCCAACTGGAGTCTCTGTTGCCTGGCAGTTGTTGCAGGGCAGAAGTGACCCCATCCAGAAAATCTCAAGGGCCGTCGCCTTGAATGCTCCGTCGTCTGGTCTTGGTATGAGACCTGCTTCTTCACCGTCCCAGAACTGTCTTGGGACCTGAAAGAGAACCTCAGAACCTCGGGGTCTTCAGGTTCAACCCGACATCGCTGTGCCACGGTAGCTACGCAGCATCTCAGGTGTCATCTATAAGGGTTCCGTGGGTCATGGAGCTCGAAGTTCCAACTGTTCAGAATTTGGAGCACGTGTCGCTCTTTTGTCCATCCTTAGTCCATCCAGATGGTCCCCTCTGAAAATGGACATCTCCCACGCAGGAAAACCATGGGTCAGACTCCATGCGGGAGTCCTCGCTCGCTCGAGTCCCTCACTCGAGTCCAGGAGCTCATGGAGTCCATCTTCTGCCGCGCGGCAGTCGGTTGGATCGGTCATGGAAGCTGGGGTGACATGAGCGAGGAGGAGCCGAAAAAGCATGGGGTGCATGCCGGTAGTCATGCCGGTGATCATGTTTTTTAAATGATGTAGGACAGCCTGCATGTTTTTGCTGGTCTAATGTTAGTTTGGAAGGGACCAGGTATTTGATTTGTGTTGCTGTTTTCTGTGCTACTGTTTGGATGTTTGATTTGTGTTTGCAGCAGAGATGGTTCTTGTTTCATGTCGTGTGACTTGCAAGAAAGCAGCTCTTTCCGCAGTTTTTGGACAATCAGGTGACTGGCCACGAACCTTGCCTTCGCTGCAGGCGGATGGCTGGGGGTGGATTTGGGCAAAAAGAGCCTTTGTCTCGGTCCACATCGATGGTTGGGGCAGCTGGTGCTTCCACTGCACTCATCCGGATATGACTTCTTTCCCTCTAGAGGTGTTCTTCCTGTGAATCCCCTGCTGGAGAACATGATTTGTCCCGGCTCCTGGACAGCAAATCCAAGGCCAAAGTCACCCACATCAAGAAGAACCTCCTTGAACTCAGAACGCCTTGTTTTCTGCTACATCATGCTAACCATGCTACATCAGACCGGTGAGACCCGAAGCGCTCCACCAGCGCCTCTCGCTCGGGCTCGCGCACGACTCGCGCTCCGCACGACTCGCGCTCGAGGACTTGAGGGCCTCGGAAGTGGAGACGGATCGCTTTGGCCACGGCGCTCAGCGGACGGAGTAATAAATGGTGTCTATAGACCGCAGCAAAAGCCCACACGACCAGCTTGGCTTTGTGCCCGAGGCCAGCTGACCAGCTACGCGCAAATGGTCACAGGTCTTCGAGTCGGGGCGGCCCAGGGTTGCTGCGGCCACAGTGCTTTTTGCAGACTGGTATTTACATGGGTTCAGGGAGGATATCTGTAGGACAGGTCTATATTTTGAGTGCCATGATATATAATATATGACCAGAAACTTGTTTCGATAATGAGATGCAGCTTTAGCACGTAAATGCCGTTAAATTTTCCGATCTCAAGCTTCTTGGTGGATTGTGGTTTCATGGATCCGGTGACCGTATCTGGAATCTTTGTTGCTGGCATTGGGGTTGGGCTCTCGGCATTGAACTGGAAGCCTCAAAAAGAGAGTCCGCCCTTGACGTGTCATTGTGCTTGCGACACTAAGAGCACACCAGTTCCATCTCCTGTCCAAGCGGCCTCGCTGCGAGAGCTCCTGTTGACAGCTTTGATTGGGGTTCTCATTGGAGGTATTCTGGTGGCTTGTTACGGTTGGCGCTTTGCAGCAGTGATTCCAGAGCCTGAGCCTTTGTGTGTCCGGGAGCCATCAAAGGGTAAGGGCAAGAAGAAGGGAGTGTTTGGGAGTCAGGTCCCATTGCAGCTGGACCTATGAACACCTTCGTAGAGGGAGACCTGGCTTTTGTGGACTATGGGGAAATGCCACCATGCATCCATACCCGACTCATTGGACCACATCTGACTGGGGATATATACACCATCATCACTCCAGACCTTGACATCTATGAAGAAGAGCTTCACATTCGTAACACTGATCTGGTGGCCATGCATCCAGGTCTTGGGGGCTTGGGGTCTCCGCTGCCAGCAGGGTTGAACCCAGCCGATGTGTACTCGTTTGGCCCTATGACGGCGCAGCAATACCAAGCCTTGATGCAGAGGGCTCGGTTGTATGCTGCTCAATACCGAGTTCAACATGGGCTACCGCCTCCTGGCTTGCATGCAGCGATGCCAGCTGCTCCTGCTCAGGTTCCGGTTGCTCCCAAAGTGTGGGTGTCTTTAGAAGCTGAGTTTGGAAAGCAAATTGGTGATGTGATTTGTGATGAGAATGTTCCCCTTCCCGCCGGCAGTGTCACTTTGGGGCCAAGCAAGGCATTGGTCCCGATGGGAACAGGTGCACTTGCAGTCAAACAGGTTAGCAAGGGCGATGTGAACAGTATGGCAGTCAAGGATCTGCGAACTTTGCCTTTGGTTTTTGATCAGCAGGGCAACAGACGTCAAGACTTTGCTGCTGTTGTGGGCCGCATGACTCAAGATGATATGCCGGGTGGCGGCATGATGTTGGATGGACCGGCATCCACGTTGGGCGTGTTGAAGTCCATGGTGGCTCGAGGACTCACACCAGTGACAGACCACGAGCATTGGGTTAGGACTCACGAGCTGCCAAGAGGAGATCGATCTGTCTACGAGATGGAGGTCATCACCCGTGCTCTTGAGGCCTTTTGCATGATTGACCAGCTCAATCTCCCCAACTCCAAAGGCATCGAACTTCTCATGAGGCGTTGGCAACTGATCAGAGAAGCTCACAGAATCTCTCCTGGGGCTCCGGATTACAGCAGTGCTGATGTGTTCATGGGATGGGAATACAAACGTGGAGACGGCGTCCACCCTGAGCTTGCTAGGTTTGTTGCTGCTGAACTGAAGGACCAAGCAGCCATTGCCAAGGAGGCTCGGAAGGCAAAGGAAGAGATGGCTACCAAGAAGAAAGGCGGCGGAGGCGACAAAAAGTCCTCTGCCGCGGAGGGAAAGTAATTCTTTCTCCTCCCAGTGTTCTCTTTCCGCCGGGAACGCTGGGGACGATTTAGGCGGGTGTCCTCATCTTGCACTGGATCTGACTGCGACTACATCTGTTAAAGCTGTGTGGTTCTCTTGGTTTCAGCTGCAGAGATTTTTTGAGGAGCAGTGACAAGTCACGGTGAGATTTTACAGTTTTTCGCAAATTCATTTTTGCCTACTTTAGAGTGACCGCCATGGAACGACATCGAGACCTTCTTCCTCTCCCCCTTCTGGACACTTTTGATGGAAGGTGTCAGGTCACCCGACCTGAAAAACATGGGCTCTCAGCAGGGGCCTATCGGAGGAGGCTTCGAAAGTATGAGAACCTCAACATGGCCAATGAGGTGATTGAGACTGTCAACCAGTTGGCAGGTTTTCCTTCGCCTAAAGCAGGGGCCCCAACGTCTAATCAACAACACTCCATGGAGACCATTTTGAAGCAGGTATCTAACTTGCCCAGGGCGAGTCAGTGCATGTCCATGCGTGAAGCCGTAGGTGAGCTTCTGCAAGTCAACCCTTTTTCACCTTACGACTCGGGTGAAGGGGTTGGGACAACTGTTAGGCCTTATGACAGAGAGCTCATTTCGCTGCCAAAGGTTGGGGCTCACATCAAAGATGCAGCCGACCTGGTGGATGAGACGGGCAAGCGGTTTCTCGAGGCCTATGATTCTGCGATGTTGAAAGAAGACATTGAACTTGATCCTAGTGATTTTCCCAAAGTTTATATGGATGAGAGACTAAAGCAATCTCCTGAACTTTATCACCGCTTCATAAAAGACCTCTGGGAACGCAACATGATTGACTTTAGCCATGAACGAGTTTCCACTGTCACCCCCTTTTTTGTGGTGAAGAAGTCTGGCAAGTTGCGACTAGTTCTGGATTGTCGTGCCACTAATGAACTGTTCAGACCACCGCCGGACATTGCGATGCCAGCAGGGTACTCTTTTTCGCAGTTGCAGATGAGCGACGAAGACACCCTCCACATTGCTCAAACTGACATTAAAGACTACTTCTATTCCATTGGTCTACGCGGTTGGTCTACGTCCCTACTTCGCTTTTCCGCAGGTGGATCTTCATGCGATTGCGCCAGATCATCCTCTCTGCCGGCAGGCCAGCGGGCCGTTGATCGTGTTCCCAAGGATGAAGGTAGTGCCAATGGGTTGGAATTGGGCGATGTACATTGCACAACGGGCTCATCAATACCAAGCCATGCTCGCCGCTCAGGTTGGTGTGGAGCGTGTTGTGGTTGATGGAAGGCCAGTGCCTCGTCTCGATCGTTCGACGCCGACACTGTTGGTTCCATACGCAGATAATCTGAACATCGTTGGCATTTGTCAGAAGGAGGTTCAACAGCTCAAGGATAAGATAACAGAGCATTTGAACTCCATTGGATTCATCACCCATGAAGAACAAGCAGCAGAACCACACGCCGAGGCCCTTGGTTTTCTTTTGGATGGCGTGGGTGGGCGAGTACTCCCCAGGCCGATCAAAAGAGACAAAGTACGTAAGGTCTTGCTTTGGCTCAGCTCTCAACCCCGAGTCAATGGCCGCATGATCGAGAAAGTTATAGGACATTGCGTTCATTTCTTCATGCTACGTCGCGAATGTCTTAGTGTTTTCCGGGCAGTCTATGATTTCAAAAAGTGCCACTATGAAGACCGAGTGGTTCTATGGGAGAGTGCTGCACTGGAATGTCGTCAGGCCGCGGCGCTCCTCCTCGTCTGCCACGCTGATCTGAAGCGAGGGTGGACGGGGCATGTCACGTGTTCTGATGCCAGTTTAACTGGTACCGGGGTGTGTGCTGCTGAGTTTGACATTCAAGATGTTTGCAACACGGGGTCCCAAAGAGAGTTGTGGCGGTACAAATCAAAAAATGCAGCTCACAATGCACGGGATCATTTCTCCAAAGCAGACCCGTTCACAGACCTTGCCACTGTCAAAAAGCAGAAGAGCTCCTCTGAGATCGACTGCTTCGTGATCAATGACGAGTTCAAGGAAGTGCCAATGAGTTTTTTGAACAAAGAGTCCTGGTCAATTGTTTTCTCTAGCAAGATGCACATGCCTGAGCATATCACTTTGTTGGAAGGACGTGCCGTGGTTCAGGCACTCCGGCACAAGACTAGGGCTTGGTCTAGTTTTCACAAGAGACACTTGCATTTTTGTGACAACCTTGGCATGACACTTGCTGCTTTTAGTATTGCTGCTGATCTTGAACTTCACCATAGATGGATACCTAGTGAATATAATGCCGCGGACGAGCCGTCGCGTCGCCATGAAAGCTCGGAAGAGACCTTCAGCAAAAGGCGCAAAAAGAGGCTTGTCGACTCAATCATATACCCAAAGGTCGAAGACCTCCAGAAAAACAACGAAGCCTTAGTCAGACTTGAGAAACACCTTGAAGGTCTTGAAGGCGACGCAAAAGCCATACAAAGGAGTAGCTCATTTGACCAGACCTGCCGAGACGAGCAGAATGATTCAGGATCACACAGAGCAGGGGAGATCGGAGAAGAGAAGATCCTTAGCACAGAGTCACAACGCTTGCCCTCGCACTTCGCAACAGACGTTCTTAGAGCAGGCTGCGGTCTCACCCCGAACGGCACTGGACTATCAGTTTCGGTTGGGGGTGTTTCAGAGCTTCTGCAAACTGAGCAAGCTCAGTCTTCGATCTCCCGAGAATGTGGACTCCGCTCTTGTGATTTTTCTGAATCAGTGTTTCATGGATGGAATGGGTCTCAACGAAGTCACCAAGTTTCTAGCAGCCATCATGGATGCCAGACCAGAGCTGAGTCCAAAACATGTTCTGGCACGGTCACGCCGTGCTCTGAAAGGCTGGAAGAACTTGGACCCAGGGACCTCAAGGCCTCCAGAGGCCTGGCCGGTTGTGGCTCTCATTGTGGCAAAACTTCTGGAGCTGAGAAAAATAGAGCAGGCTCTATTTGTTTTGACAATGTTCGTCACGTACTGCCGGCCTTTCGAACTGTTGATCCTGCAGTCTCACGACCTGGTCGAAACCAGTGTTCGGAACCCAGTACTCCCTTGTCCTCAACAAGACCGAAGACTTAGAGATGTCAAAAGTTGGCATGCAGGACGAGTGACGAGAGTATGATTTTGGACAACAAAGAGATTCCTTGGCTTGGAAAGGCACTGGCGGTTCTGAAAAGACGTCACATGGGTCTGCAGCTCTTCAACTTGTCCTACCACGATCTAAGGGACGCATGGCTGACCGCAATGAAGCTTGCGAACCTTCCCGAAGGCTACGTGGTCATGTATCAGCTCCGGCACTCAGGAGCTTCGTGGGACAGGGCACAAGGGTACAGGACCCAGCTGGAGGTCAAGCACCGGGGCCGATGGGCTGCAGACGGCAGCATGCTTCGATACGAAAAACATGCCATGGTCATGCAGCGTTTCACAATGTTGCCTCAGCAGGTGCAGAAACAGGCACTGTCTGCCGTGGTTCATCTGCACAATCAAGTCGCCGGTGTGTTAGGGTTGCCTCCCAAGCAGCTGTGAAGGGTGTGAATTCATTGCTTCGGGGGGCAGTTCCAAATCCCTTGCGCACTCAAGTATGTCTTGAGCTTTTTTCGGGTTCTTCGAGGTTGTCTCGTAAGCTACACCAGCTTCGGAGTTGAGGCTTGGGACATCCAACTTGGTTCGGAATTTGATCTCTTGAAAAAGTCCAATGTTGATAGCATCATTGATACAATTCATGCTGGGAAAGTTGCATATGTTCACGTTGGCCTGCCATGTCAGTCATGGAGTAGAGCCAGACGTCATGACGGCTTTGGTCCTGGACCTCTCCGTGATGACGATAGGTACCTCTATGGCCTTCCAAATTTGAGGCCTTTAGATTGGGAAAAGGTTCGCCAAGGCAATCGCCTTCTCTTCAATTCCGTTCGTATTCTTGCTGCCTGTCAAAAATCCCAAGTTCCTTGGACGCTTGAAAACCCTATGACTTCACGTGTTTGGAAAACCAAGTGTATCCAAAGATTGGCTAAGCATGCAGTTTGTCATAAAGCGGATTTTTGTCGGTATGGCCGCCCTTGGCAAAAAGCTACATATTTTTTTGGCCAGTAAAGACCTGCACTTAAAAATCTAAAGAACTGCTCTGGACGTGGTGTGTGCTCTCGAACACAGAAGCCGCATACACTTCTCCAGGGCACCAATAGTGCCGGTACTTTCATGACCAAAGTTGCTGAGCCGTATCCGTTCAGCTTATGCTGGCACATAGCCTCTGCCGTTAAGCGCTTGCACAAGTAGACTCCGTTTACGGGATATGGGAGTGCAGTCAAGACAGGTGGATGCAATGCTTTCGTTCAAGCTTC